GTTCCGCCCCTGATGCACAACTGTTTTAAAATATTTAATGTTAGTATTGAAGTTGATTTTCTCCGGTTTTACTAAAACTACTAGATTAGAAGCTTATGATTTTAACAAAGGTAGTAGTAAAGTTCTATAAAACTATAACTGCTATGTTTTGTAAGACCTATGATGTATAAGTATTTCGTTTTTTCATGTAGGACCCCTGGTTATACTTTGTGATGTTTTGGTTATTAAGTTGATACTTTAAGAACCATTGTTTTCTATCTGAATACACAGTATGAAAATAATTTTAGGGTGTGTTTAAGCAGTTATGAGAAATTACTTAGCGATAATTGTATAGAACGTAATCCATATTTGTAAAATAATAAATAAAGTTAGTATATTTTAATTAAGTGGTTTTTTTTTGTCAAACTAATTAAGGATTGCCAGATAAGATTTTAAAAATGTCTTTTTAAACAACTATTTTACTTTAAGTGGTGCCGCGAGGCACGAATTGAACTTCATCTGTTAACATGCTTTTAGGGCAGACAAACACAAAAATCTATTATTTGAAAAATACAATAGCTCTTCTCTTAAGAAACATAAAAAAAGAAGTCAACGTCCACATTCAAAAGGCAGAAATTTGGGGGTAAGAGGCGAAACATTGAGTCCATGTGACTGGAGATGAGATTGTCTTAAACACAAAATATTATCGTCTAAATATCGCAAAATAGGGGTCACTTTTACTGTCAAAGCTCCTTCTATGACAACGAGGTGAGACAACCATCAAAGAACAAAGTCAAAAGCCGCCAGCATAATCGCCGAGACAATGCTAGCTGCTATCTTTAAAAGGTGAAAAATCGGGTTCATGAGACCATATTTCTCGAAGAAATAAAACGAACCAAATGTAGTAGACTGTTCACATGCCTTAACCGGACTACATATTAAATACCGAAACAGAATTACATTCCAATAATGTAAATTGCGGATTACTTTAAACACATTTATATTATATAATATAATTCGTTTGATTGTGACACCAGTATGCCATATTTAGTAAGTTACATTTTTTAGCAATATAAAACCGTACATTGACAAAAGGCCGACACTTTAAGTTTAAATGTTATCAATGGAAATATCTGAGTATAGTTAAAACTCTAATTGCTCTCATACTTTCTAATATTAATATCGATATCCAATTTAAAAAACCCTCTAAAACTTAAACACTAAACAATATTATAATATTTTTTAATATCAATAAACACACCGTCTTACCAAATCAATACTAATAACAAAATAGGTTCTGATAGGCCCATACAATGAATATGTGGAGAGGTAAAATAAATTCAGATACAAAAAATAAGTCAAGAGAAATTAACTTTCACTTTAAAGTTATCAATAAATATTGGAGATTTATAACGATGTCATCTGATATGAAATCGATAGAGATCATGGTGCTATTTTGTTAGGTGAAAAGAATGACATGGTTGAGTGGTAGAGTGTGAGACTGCAAATCTCATCACCGGAGTTTAGATCCTAGATTAAGTCAATAAAGTAACATTAAATGCATACAAAATGTGGCTGGATATGCATTAGACACAGATTAATGAATTAAATGTCAGTGAACATAAAAGGCAAATTAAGAAAATAAATGTTACTGCACATTGGTAGATAATTGTAGATAGTAAATGTCAAGAAGCAATGATGGATAATTGATGTAAATAAATATCACTGAACAGATGTATAATGTAAAGTAAATGTCACCGAGCACTTTTGGATAATTATGTAAGCAAATGTCACTGAAAATTGGTATATAATTAAGGAACAAATGTCACTGAGCATGGTAGTGATGGCCGATAAAAGCTGACGAGCGTCAGTTGATCTGCTAACATGGACTAGCATGTATGAAAAATTTGTTTGGTTGCTACTTAACACCAGAAACTTGCTGGGAATAAAACTTTAGGTGTAGTTGTGCTTTTTATTATCATGGCAAATATTACTAATTCACCTGTGCATCCCATAGGGTTTGAACTTTGTCCAGAACTAGAATAGGTGTGCTGCTCTTTTAAAATATAGTGCATGTGTTTGATTGATGTAGTAAAATAGCCATCAACAGCAGGTTTAGATTTTTTTCAAGAAAGGATCCCAGCCAACTTTTTAAAATATATGTGTAAATTTTAAAGAAATATTTTTAAAATTTTTTTTTTTATTTTTTACATTTTTAAGTTCTATTTTTAACTTGTGATGTGTCAAAGTGAATTTTTATTAAATAAAGGAATTGGGCTGTTTCATGTTGAGTGAACGATAGAAATGTGAACCTAAATTCCATTTGCAAAGGAAATGTTGAAACACATGTATGAGTCTAAAAACGGTGGAATTGTATTAAAATGTGATATTGAAGTAATTTTAAAAAGATTTTTTAAAAATAGGCCTACCTGCCATTTCAGGAATTTACCTGTTCAGATGATAATCAAAGGTAAGTAACTAATTTTTTAATCACTTTTTTATTAGCTCGGCTGTTAAAGTGTCTTTTAAATCTTCATTACAATGGAGATGATAATTTCCATAAATTTTGCTATGTTATGATTTATTAAAACTGTTGGACTTTGGAATGTGGTAAATTGCAATTTTTCGTTATCGTTATCGTTATCGTTATCGTTATCGTTATCGTTATCGTTATCGTTATCGTTATCGTTATCGTTATCGTTATCGTTATCGTTATCGTTATCGTTATCGTTATCGTTATCGTTATCGTTATCGTTATCGTTATCGTTATCGTTATCGTTATCGTTATCGTTATCGTTATCGTTATCGTTATCGTTATCGTTATCGTTATCGTTATCGTTATCGTTATCGTTATCGTTATCGTTATCGTTATCGTTATCGTTATCGTTATCGTTATCGTTATCGTTATCGTTATCGTTATCGTTATCGTTATCGTTATCGTTATCGTTATCGTTATCGTTATCGTTATCGTTATCGTTATCGTTATCGTTATCGTTATCGTTATCGTTATCGTTATCGTTATCGTTATCGTTATCGTTATCGTTATCGTTATCGTTATCGTTATCGTTATCGCTATCGCTATCGCTATCGTTATCGTTATCGTTATCGTTTTAAATTTTAACTATAAACTTCAAAAGGATTTCGAACAGAGATGTTAGGGATTTTTTCTAAAAATGATGAAAGCTTTAAATGTTTACTCGCTAAATATATTTATCACTAATACTTTACATTTCCCGTATTTTTATTATTTCAATATATATTTGACTGAAACACTACTACATTTTTTTTTTAAATTAAATTATAAAAAACAAAAAATAACACATCTATTGTATTGAAGGCCAGTCAAGGAATGATTGAAAGTCTTCCTGGTAGAGAAAATATTGTCATATTTTCGTAATTATACCCCAGCCCTATCCTTCAATATTTAAAACACCAACAATTTCGAATAAGTGGTAGTCTATGTTTGTTACTTTCTCTTATCCAGAGTACAGAGGAGGAATTTTAATCCTACTAAATACTAATCACATATTTTGAAAGTTTTCGCTGTTTTAAACATGCCAGCTTCATAAATAACGAACCGCAAAGGATGCGTTCTAATCGTGCAAAAATCTTAACAGAGATTTTTAAAAACTTGGACGTTTTACATATCTTCGGAACGGAAAGACTTAGTTTTGCAGTATTGTCTGTTTATCTTTGATATCTGTAAACACGACATCTGAAGTATCTTTCCGGTTATGTTGACAGTTCATATAACTATTATATTTAATTGTTGCATCTGTATCAACCTTAATGCATTTTCCAGTAAACTGCATTCGTACATATTTTGCTTCCGGTTTATCAACAGCGGAGTTTAAGTAAGATAGATTGAATTTCATACATGTATTAAATTGTATGGCAGTATTACGTCAACGTTTGAACGTTTTCGTGTAATCGGATATGGTATTTTCCGAGTGAACACTTGAATTTCAGTACTGTGTTAGTTATGTAAAAATGTTTCATAAATACGTATACAATCTGATATCTAGAACGTTATTCATTTTTGAGTGAACTTCGATAACCGAATCTTGTACTTTAAGATACTTCCAGTTTCAAAAACAATGATTGCGTAAATACCGTTTCACTTAAGGGGTCATCCATAAAAGACGTAACCCTTTTTTTGACGATTTTTACTTCCTCCTCCCTCCCCTCCGTCACACGTCGTCACAAAAAGCCAGACCCCTTCCTAAAATGACGTCAAACCTCAGCCTATAACTCCCCTCGAAATTGCTGTTGGATTTTTCTAAAACATCGACAATTCCTATTACAACTATTAAAAATGTTTTCTAAAACGCGAAATAACGGCTAAAACTCGTTTTCTAACATTGCTTTTTTATAATGCAAAAAAGTGACGTCACACCATCTGAACCCCCCTCCCCTCCCCCTCATCACACACCGTCACAAAATTACGGACCCCTCCTCCCCCCTACGAGTGTGACATCATTTATGGACGACCCCTAAGTCAACAGAATTGTATAAATAGGTATACGTTTTTTTGGCACTGTTTAATATTGAACGATTTTAGGAGACCAAAAAAATAGTACTTTATGCTGTTTTTTGTTTCTCAAATAACATCTATTCTAATAGACAGATTAATTCCAAACTTTTTACCCAGATTAAGACTCAATGAAAATTAACTGTAACATTTGCTTTTTAAGAATATTCAACGCGTTGTTAAATTGGTGCGCAATTATTTTTTATTGTTCTATTTAGATAAAATAAGTATTAATAAATTAATAAAAATCATTTTTGTTACAAGATCGCACTGAAAGTGCGATCTTCCTTACTGCTAGAAAAGAGTACACGAGAATATTTAGGGGAGATCACTACCTCTTTTTATTTTAATAAGTCCGTTGAAGCCCATAACTTATTCAACTATCAATACACCGCTCACGTAAGTTTAAAATCAATGGTAACATCTGGCAAACAATTAGCAGCTAAGCATAACCAGAAATCACGTGTAGGCCACGCCTATGTAGTCTAGATATTGGTCGAGTGGTTATAAGTATTAGTAATCAGCAACATGAAATTAAAAAATATTCGCAGCAACAAAAGTTTAGAATTCTTGATACGGATAGGTAAGTTAAGCGTATTATTGAGTATCATATTATATAAAAACCCATGTACACACTTGCCTCTCTCCCTCTTTATTAAGATTTTTCCTAACATAGGAGATCAGTTTTTATCACACGTGTAGAACGTAAAGATCCTACATTTGGTCAGATAAATATAATGATAATACTGAATTTATCATGCCGCATGTTTTTCTACGAGGCAATCAAAAGTAAAGTCATATTCGAAGATAGAAACACACCTTTAATTATGAAACCTGAGAAGTAAAGCTTTCTTCAACAAGTAATTTCAAGAGAGATATATTAATTAACATAGAAAAACGATCACATGCAAATAGAATAACGTCACATAAAACGAATTTAATATTATATTTAAAATGAAACAATTTAAATGATCGGAGTCATTGATTGTTTAATTTTTTTTTAAAATGAATAAAAACTCGAAATGATACAAAGTTTTAATGGCGTCACAACATTAGACGTGTAGCCTATTCATCTTAATAACATATATTATTGGCTACGGTCGATGTTAGGGTTTCAAAATTTAGTTCCATATTCAGTACATTTAGTTCCTATTAATGCTACTATTTTGATTGAATTTTCGCTTTGTGTTCTATTTCAGGATAGCATTAAAATACCTGTTTAGGATTGAGTTTTATTTTTTTATTAAAATTATTATTTATTGTTAAAATACCGTTTCTCCATTAATTTACGTTTACATTTGCATTTCCGGATCCGGTTATGATACTGGGTTAGTTCATTAATGGCTACATTTTTAGATCCAGATACAATTCTTGTTTAAGGGGAAAACAGCTTAGAGTCCGTTCCCCCCCCCCCCCCCCTAAACAACATAAGTGTCTAGTTTAAAACATAACTCTAAAGAGTAAACAAATGCAATTTTAGTGGTTTTATCTCTATGATTTAGGGCGTCGTGTCCCAATCACGACAATGAAACTACAAGTTTTGTTGGTTTCTTATCTGACTACGTTAAATTGCTTGACGTTTGTGGAAGGAACAAATGAGATGCTAAGCTCAAGTGTAGATGGCGTAAACAAAACAAGCTCACATGTTAATGGCAGAGATGACGAGACCAGCACTAATCTTCAAAGCAGATCATCTGAGGGAGTAAATCTTGCCTGACGTTATAATTATAAATCATTTATCGGTCTTTTATACTGCTCTATGTTGGGTTTACATGTAAACTATATATATATATATATATATATATATATATATATATATATATATATACATAATTTACATGAAAATTATATTACATATATAAATAAATAAATAAATAAATAAATAAATATATATATATATATATATATATATATATATATATATATATATATATATATATATATATATATATATGCTTTTCCGGTAACATAAAATAGTACTTACTCTACATCTGCTTTTTCAAAAGCCAAAATTTTAGTATAGTTTAAGTTAGGTGGACAAAATTTGAAGTAAAATTATTACATCTTTATCGCTTGTTCCTACAGAATTTTAAAGGATTAAATTATTTTATTTTTTCAATTCCGAGGCTTAATTTTCCTAACTCTGAGACTTTATATCGATATTAACATTATTTATTTTTACAGTATAAAATGCCTTATGTTGGAGAAATTCAGTTTCCGATGTATTCAGGAAAAGAGATTGCTATCGAAGGAGTTATACAAGACGATGCTTCATAGTTAGTTGTAAAATGTTTTTAAAAGTTGATACAAAATTTATAACATTTTCTTTATTTAAAATTTATAATGTACTGGAAAGGCCTTGCACTGGCTTTTGCTAAAACCTATCTGCAAATGACCGTGACTAGTCTGTTTATTAAGCAGCATATACCTGGCCATGCCTGCATTTAGGGAATTCACTCACCACAAACATAAAAAATACTCAATCACAAACTCAAATGCGAAAGTAAAAACAAAACAAACGCAAACAAAATCACAATCGAAAACGAAAACGGAACGCAAACAAAAAAGCAAACGTAAACACAAGTGTAAACGCAAACACAAACGCAAACAGAAAAGCAATTGCAATCTCAAGTACCTTACACAAATGCAAACATAAACGCAAACACAAAACAAATTACTAACGCAAACGAAAACGCAAACGCAAACATAACAGAAGCATAAGCGCAAATGCCAACGCAAACACAATTGCAAACGGAAAATTAAAGGCAAACGCAAAATCAAATGTAATCGCAAACTTATAAACAAACCCAAACGCAAAAACATATAAAAACACAACAAAAAACAACTAAGGCAAATCAAAGCACAAACAGAAACGCAAAACAAAACACACAAACACCAAAAAAAAGCAAATACAAGCACAATTCCAAAACCAAAACAATAAAAATCGCAAACACAATAAACGAATTATTAACGCAATCATAAACACACACACATACAAAAATGCAAACAAAAACACAAACGCAAACATGAAAGCTAACGCAAACACAAGTGTAAACGCAAACACAAACGCAAACAGAAAAGCAATTGCAATCTCAAGTACCTTACACAAATGCAAACATAAACGCAAACACAAAACAAATTACTAACGCAAACGAAAACGCAAACGCAAACATAACAGAAGCATAAGCGCTAATGCCAACGCAAACACAATTGCAAACAGAAAATTAAAGGCAAACGCAAAATCAAATGTAATCGCAAACTTATAAACAAACCCAAACGCAAAAACATATAAAAACACAACAAAAAACAACTAAGGCAAATCAAAGCACAAACAGAAACGCAAAACAAAACACACAAACACCAAAAAAAACGCAAATACAAACACAATTCCAAAACCAAAACAATAAAAATCGCAAACACAATAAACAAACAATTAACGCAATCATAAACACACACACATACAAAAATGCAAACGAAAACACAAACGCAAACATGAAAGCTAACGCAAACACAACCGCAAACACTAAAGCTAACGAAAACAGAAAAGCCGCCATAAAAACAAACTTTAAAAGCGGGTTTTCTATATTTTATTTATGTAATTGGTACAAACTATTTAATGTATATACTTTTTACAAACAAAATGGAAAAATTTGCAAAGGGTAATACATTAACAGAGTTAATTTCATCTTTATATATTAGATATAAATAAACATTTACTATGTTCATTATTACACGCTTTTTTAAGAGCAAAACAATTAACTATGAATTTAGTGCGTTTCAGTTTTTTAATGTCAATGAATTTTAATTGCGAGATATTTTAGCATAAAGAAAAAAGAACAGTAATTATTACGTTAGAAAAAGTAAATCTCAATTCTAATGATACTACAAATTTGATATGCCCACAGCTTCTCCGTGAAACTCTGCAATACTGAAGTGTGTGACTACAACGTGCCTTTCATAATGCTGATTGACTTCATTGACAAAATGCGGGTGATGTCGTCTTATTATGATTTCCCTTCTGAAGGAATAGAAGATACTGGAGAATTACCGTTCAAACCTGGAATGCAATTTAAACTTGATATAAAAATTACGAACGATCATTTTACGGTAAACACACACACACACTTACGCACACGAACACACACACACAAATATATATATATATATATATATATATATATATATATATATATATATATATATATATATATATATATATATATATAAATGTTTTTTTAAAAACGTAACATTCTTTCATTTCAAACATTCGTGTATCGATTTAATTCTTAATTAACTCCAAAGAAATATAAAAGCAGAAATTGTAAACAATCTCGTAAAACGGGATGAACAAAAAAATTTAAATCGAAATTTTCTAACATATCTTGTCTCAGGTTTGGGTTAACGGAAACTCAATTGACTCGTTCGAAAATCAAATGCCCTTAGAAGATATTTTGTACATACACGTCGACGGGCAAGCAGAGGTTAACTGGATTCTATTCTCAGTAAGTTTGCAATGTGCAATATGATGAAACATAATTTGACTTGTCCTGTCGCATATACGTTTTATATTTTATTTATGTCATTTACTACAACACACAACGTACACACGCATTAGCAATGTATTGTATCCAGGAATTAAATTTATTTTTTATATACTCTATAACAAAAGCTGTGTCTTTTATGCACTATTACAACTTCCACCAGAGCACCGTGAAACTTAGCGAAAAAGCTTAGAATACTCCTAGAGAGGTGTATTTGTAAAAAAAAATTCAAATTTGTAGGGGTGCACCGATAAATACGGCCCAAGCTCAGGCATTGTTTACATTTAAATAACTCAGTTTTAGAAAAAAAATTACACGTCTGAGAATATAAGATTGGTGAAACTCTTCTTATATATTTCGTAAGAGTTTTTTTCTATCCGCGCGGGGACGGGCAAGCTAGTTCTAAATATAATTTATAATTATTTTGTAAAGCTCATAACTGTATCTATTTTTGTTTGTTTTGTTATTAACTATGATTAATGTTATTAAAAACTTTTTTTTTCAGAAAATGAACCCCGTAAGTGTGTACGCAATTAATATTTTTAAATATAATATTATTTCTAGCATAGATTAATTATTCTCATTTTAATATAAGAAAAACAATTTTTATAACAATTTCAATATGCTTCGAAAAAAGAATTTGCGACGTAACACAAATAATGTATACATTTAAAATAATCAGTATTAAATTAAAAAAAAAACAATTTTTTTTCTAAATTTAAGGCCGGTATGGAAATAATTGAAAGACGAAATGGCGGTGAAAAAATTGTAATCTATGGATATCCAACCAACGATACTTACGGGTTTGTATAAATACATAATTAACCTTTTTGGTTCAGTAGTAAATATTTTTTAATTAAATCTCTCAAGTATTTACATTTTATACTTTTCCTAGCATTGGGCATGTGATTTATTTAAAATCTGAGGATTACAAAGAATGCAAAACCAAAGATTATGCAAAGTATGTTGGACGAAAATGTTTCACATTTAAAACTTATTTCTGAAATTTTAATTTCAAATTATTGCCATTTATATGATGAAGATATGTTTGATTTGTTTGTTCATAGTAAACTATTTTTTCAGGTTTAACATTAACATTAAATGCATAGAGGATGGCAGTGGAAATAATGTTTTCCACCTAGACCCAAGTTTTATTCACGGGGTTGATATTAGAAAAACTGTCATTGACCATTATCAAAACGGAAAATGGGTTAACTATGTTAAATATGACTATTTTGACTTCGAAATTAAAAAGATGTTCATCTTATAGTTATAGTAAACTTTTTTTCAGGTTTTCATTCAACATTAAATGCGTACAAGATGGAAGTAACAATATTGTCGTCCACCTAAACATAAGGTTTAACACAAGAAAAACTGTTATTGACTATTTTCAAAAAGGAGAATGGGCTTTCAACTCTATCGATACTGTCTTTGACTATTTTGACTTCAAAATTAGAGAGCAGTTTATTGTTCAGTTTTTAACAAGTCCAGGTTCAACTTTGGTATTTTAACATTTTTTTTTTTTTAAATTTAGATTACACAGATAAAACAAATATTTTTATTTAACATGTTTCACCGTGATTAATAAATCCATATGTTAATACTTGTTAACCTTCAGACAAAAAAAAAAGTATATAGCCACTAATAGCAGTTCTTGTGGCCATGGAAACCACGAGGTGTGAAAACTAACACATTTTGAAAACTCTATGTCTGTTCTCAAAATAGATTTCTTATATCTGACAACATATTTACAAATTTATCAAAAGAATCTATACATTTATACGTTTTGACATTGTGATAGCATTTATTTATTTTTAATACACATTTCTCGTAGAACTATGAACAAAAAATAGGGGTTGTGCTATATAAATATCAATATTTCCTAGAGCATTGCAGTAAACTTAACTTACAAACAAAGTTTTGAAGATTGGAATAAAAAGGTGAATGCATTTAAAAGTTTCAGTCTGTTACGACAAAGGTTTCCTGAGCATTAGCTATTTGATTTTTGCGTAAAATTACAAAGTTGAGAAAACTTGAAAAGAATGTAGGAAATGGCACTGTACGGTTCCTCTTACAGGAAACAATAAACGACGTCTTGTTTAATGTGGAAGATTCATTGGAATAATAAAATGAATATTGATTTTACTTTTAAGTTTCAGAATTTTTTTTTATATAAGCAGAAATAATGTATACAGGATTAAAGAATATTATAATTATACATTAAATATCATATTCTCCAAGTACTATTCGAAGAACAACTATTAACTGACTAGATTAAGTTCTGTTTGTTAGCTGGTCTTCTCACTTCTTTACAATGTCTATCACTTTTTAATTTTTAACGTGCACACGTTTATTGACTCTTGATAATAGCTTATAACCCAATCATGTGTTCAGTGCTTGACGCTAGAGACTCCGCCCCCCCCCCATTGATGTTAATGATGCGTGAGAGATAGAAGCCGTACATTACAAATGATCAGTCAACCTTGAATAACATTTGCGTGTAGTTATGATCAAGTATTACGTTTATGCTTATCAGCGATCCATTTCGTGTTTAAATGAGTGTTTGTAAACCATACACGCAACATAATGCTTACACACGTAAAGTCTAATGTACCCGTTCAACCCTAACACAAAATGATGTAACGCGATTATAAACAGGTCGATGGTTGACTATCAAACAGATGAATAGGGGATGGGCTTTCGTTCATTTTTCAAACTTACTGGCGTTAACTCAACGTCTCTGAAATATGGTCTTAAAATAGTTGCATCTTATGAGTTTCAAAGGTTAAAGAAATGACAACCAATTGAAAAATGTCAAATTTTACGTACATCATCAGACTTACTATATATATTTTGCCCTTAGATTTTTGTCATGTTATATTTTGTTCTGTGATCTTATGTTAGTTAGATCATTTATTTTTTTGTTGTAATTCGATATTTCTAAGCCGCATTACCAATAAGTGTAACCTAATTTTAATCCCTCGTTATACAAAGTTAGAGTAATCCTACATAAATCGAAGTCGGTATTTTCATAAGATACGATTTTTTACACCTCACTGCGTCAGAAAAACTTAGTTTTGCAAGTTTTTCCTTATGTCGGTGTGTCTGTCAGTCAGCGAGTCTTTTTTCTGTGTGTCTGTAAACACGATTTCATACATGTGCGTTCAATTTTTGTGCACATTGTTTTCCTCTGTTCTAGCAATGTATCACAAAAATTAATTAAAAAAAATTCTAAAGCTCTGTTGCGCAGAAAATGCCGTGCTTATTATTGTTATATAAGAATATTCGAGAAAGATTATGATATATTAATCCTGGTTTATTTTAAGTTCGTACTGATAAAACTAAATTTCTGTGAGATATCAACTGAAATGCCAGGTTAGGTAGGTTCGATCTATAAAAGTTTCTTAATAAAAACGTGTAGAAAAAATTATTTAAAAAGAAAAAATGATAACGATTTGAAAACGAATTTCTTCAGGTTAAAATAAACTCAAACTTCGAAAAGAGGTTGGATCACAAAATGGACTGCTATGATCATTTGGATTTTGATGGAGACGTGAGAGTGGAGAAAATATTGATGACATAAACCGACAACAGATCTTTACACTTGCACATATGATGCATTGTATTTTATGTAAAAGTATTATTTGCAGAAAAACTAAAAATAATTGTACACATTTTATTTAAATAGTAAACCTAATTACAAAAACAATCTTATATTGAAAAATGTATTATTGCCTATTTGATGTAATCCAATTTTTGATTACTAATTGACCAGGTGCAATTTCAACTTTTTTTTTTAATTGGTAAGGACAATTGTCGATACTCTTTTGAATTTCAATTTTAAAAATCAAATTTATTTAAAAATTAAATTTATTAACCTTGTTTTAAAATTGTATATGATTGTTTGTCATAAAGCTCTGAATCAATTGACTTTGTGTTTATTACTTAATTTCAGAAAAAAAATTGTTTCTGGATGTTAAGATCTGTGTTAGTTCGTGCAAATAGGTGCGAATGAATGTTGGTGCGGGCGAATATTGAACTAGTGAAAGTGTAACTCGGTACGCATGAATGTGACGATAAGGTGTAGGATCTTTGTTGCCGGGGAAGAAGCTTAAAGAAGACTTGTTCTTGTTGTCTTAGGATGAGATCATGTTTGTAGTCAAGTCTCAATATCGTCCGTCCAAGTCGTAATATGTATTATTATGGTGCTATAAATAATGAACTTAAATAATGCCATCTTATTAACAACCGACTATATATAATATCGCTAAAACTATCTGCTCATAATTTAAATCTATCAAAAGTGGAGGGGGGTGGGGGAGATCCCATATAACAATTTCAAAATTTACCCGAGGAAAGTTTTGACGAAAGACAACTGATGCAGGGTAATCCTGAATAAAAAATAAAGCGTGGGTTACCTCCCGTAATTATTAATCATGTACTAATTAATTTCGATAACTCGCTACAACAGGAATATATTTAGACACAATACCCTTGTATAACCTTTTCAATTTAGAAATGCAAGTAGGGGTTGTTAGTACTACATCAATTTCAAAGCAATTGATGGGGGGGGGGGGCAGTGACCCAATAACAAACTCATTTTAACGCAACAATCCTACATCCAGCTTTATTAACAACCGACTATATAAAATATCGCTAAAACTATCTGCTCACAATTTAAATCTATCAAAAGTGGAGGGGGGGGGGGAATCCCATATAACAATTTCAAAATTTACCCAAGGAAAGTTTTTTTTTTTTGGAGAAAATGTAAAACTGATTAAGTCATCCACGTCTGGAATGAAGCATTTTTTATTTTACTACAAAGACCTTTTTTACTTTCTCGTATATACGAAGTATAGAGAAAGTATTGTAATCGTGCAAAAAAAATCGAGATTTTTACAAATCTCGACGTTTTACATCTCACTGATACGGAAAAACATAATTTTGCAATCTTGTCCGTATGTCTGTGTGTCTGTGTGTCTGTGTGTGTGTGTGTGTGTAAACACGATAACTTGAGTACCGTTACAGCTAGGTTGATGAAATTTATATATAAGTATTTTATCAAAATCGTAGATCCGTATCAACTTTTGAGCGATGTCCGATAACCGGAAGTGGTACTTTTTCTACTTTGAATTTTCAAAAGCCTATAACTTGAGTACTATTTCAGATAGATAAATGAAATTTCACATGTAAGTAAAAGATCTAATTCTCTTTGTTCTGTCAAATTTTGAGTTGACGGGAAGTACTAATTTACGCTATTTCCGATTTCTCAAAAAACGCACGTAAATTTATAAAGTACTAATAATATTGCGCACTATTATGCACATTTTGTTTTGGCGTTCGCTTGGTGCGCAATTCTTTTTTCTACTAGATTTTATTCTATTTATAAAAGTTTAAGTAATTAAAAATCATCCCACGTAGTGTTATATAAGAATATTCGAGAAAGTTTAGGGGAGATCAGTCCCGGTTTATTTCATAAAAAATAATGCCTTTAACCCCTTAATGCCTAAATTATGGTCCAAGCGTGTAAAAATGTATTTGTGCTGATTATCTCTTATCATACTGACACTGAATTTAAGGTATGTAGTAAATTTGGACTTATTTTTATGCTAATTACGGTATGTCGCGAAAACGCGACATCAGGCACTTATGGACCAAACGGTAATTTTTTTTTTTTTAGTCCGGGTCATTATACTATTTTTACTGTCACGTGTTTCTCTAAATATCCACGCACAAGCAATAGAATATCACACACTGAACATACGGACATGCAAGGAGATGTAGAATTACTTGCAAAATTCATGAAAAGTATACTTTATTAGCTCAGGCATAGAGTTACATAACTCTGCTGCACCAGCTCACTGACTAACTCTTATGAATGGGTATTTTTAAGCCTTGCTGTCGTGGTTCTACTACACTACATTAACACACTACATATGAAAGGACTTCCTTCAATGTGTAGAGCCTTTGTTTTTCCCAGTTACGTCATTATCGTGAACTCTTATTCAAGGTCAACTAATAAAGACGCATATTTCTCATTTGACCTATATTTGCTATACACACAAAGTATGTGAACAAATACTGTCCTAAATGACAGTGTTCAGCCATTGTATATTCGTCCATGCTCAATTCAGCTGCTGTGGAAACTTAGTGTCACTGCTTTGGCTACTCAGTGCCACTGGTGTGGGTACTCACTGCTATTGTTGATGGTACCCTATGTTTCCGATTCGTGCTACAGCTATTGTGCTCGACTGATTCTGCTGTTGATTACAAATGACAGTGCTGTAGCTTCAAATTGCAACTGGTATGGGTACTCAGTGCTGAAACAGTGGGTGTTGAAGCCATGTGTACTGAGTGATGAAGCTGTGGGTACTCACTGTTGAAGCTGTGGGTACTCAATAACACTGCTGTCGGTACTAAATGCCAGTAAAATGCCACTAATGTGGGTATTCAATAGCACTGCAAAGTGTATGTTTGTCAGTGCTCAACCTTACTGTATTTATTACGAGGTGTAGGTCTATGCTCAATGTTATTATTGTCAAGGTCACTGTGAAGACCTTTCTTTGGTGGTATCTACGTTAGTGGTCCACCACCTCACATCCTGTTGTCTATATTTTGTATGTTCTCCTACTATTTTACAATACTATTTCAAAGCTAAATTCGTTATACTGTACCCAGCAACATGATCACATTATTCCAGCATCGCTCTCTCTCTCCATATGCCAATGCCAATGAAACAGGTGAACTCTACTTCACCTACCACATGGACCGTTACGTTCTAAAGTGCACTTTTATAAATAGACGAAGACTATATTGTAAATTCTCTACTTATTTATAATCATACTTGAATGAATGACAGCTTGGCGATGCATCGTATTTCGTTATACCTGCTTGGCACCAAAGTTCCATTTTATCTCTTGTTGCCGGATGTCTCGAAAACGCGACAAACTATAATTAGCAAATAACTTCCAAAATTATTCCCATATGTGATTTATACTGTTTATATACAATTACGAGTGAATAATAAAGCTATTAGTATTTTTTGTATCAAAAATGGATCACCTATTTAGTAATAATAATCAATGTAAGTAGGCTGAATTTACGAAGTCAAAACAAATTACGATGCGCGTGAGTCAAGAGAGTGTGACGTCATAAATTTCGACTTGACAACGTGACCGTTGGTACCGATACAACCGTCGGAATGTACCCAATACATTACGACCGGCAACTGTAGGTAAGAGGTACCTATGCGCAAATGCCTTGCGCTAAATCGGTATGTCGCGGAAACGCGACAGTCGGAGTTAAGGGGTAAAATGCTTTTTACTGGTGGATTAATATAATGTTTGCACAAATTGACGATATTCGACAAAACGTCAAGCTTGCCGTTTGAGACTTATGTCGTTTGTTTGTCTCTAACATGCCTTTACCAATTTGAGACAAGATCAAGACTTAGTGCAGGTCAATTTAAATTATTGATAAAATATCATGTGAGATTCATCTAAATAATTAAAGGGGACGGCGTGGTCTAGTGAGTTCGAATCCGGGTTCAAGTTAAACGAACACTCCCGAGTCTTTCTAGCTCTTAAATAAATAAATATTTATTTAGGATTTCAAAAACACAAGTCATTTAAAGGGCCGCATTATCTCTTCACACACCAACAGTTTATGCCTTATTTTTGGGCAGTGGAATATATACATCAGATTTCTTTGCGTGAAAGATAACAGATGTTCATAGCTTATCTGTAGAATATTTATTTACATTTAAAGCGACAATTTAAAATTTACCTACTTTGTTTTTTCGTGTTTTTTGTTAGTACACACGCCATATCAACGTTTTGCAAACTCAAAGCAGGTGCGATATTGAGCACCTTTGTAGTAGTGTAACCGGCGGCTCTTAGAAACATCTTTGAACACTCTAGAGTGGTCGGCAAGAGGTGCTCTACGTCATCAGTACCAATAGTGAATAAAGTACATTAAAAATTTCTTAGAGCACAACCTTGGGCGCCTGTACGGTACTGTGGACAATTTCTCGCAAAACATCTAAGATCCATTAAATTTAGGGCCTTTTTTTCATTTTGAGGTGACAGCAAAAATTATCCTAGGACTATTGATCTCAGAAAAAAATATATCGTGACAAAATATGTTATGAAAAAATATGTATTGTACATAGGATGATAGCGGTAGATACCTTGCCTGTTAACCCGTAAGTTTTGAGTTCGAATCCGGGTTTAATTTAGTAGACCGTCCCTAAGTTCATCCAGCTCCGACGGGTACCTAACTCTTGTTAGGGTAAGTAAAGGCAGCTGGGCATAGTGCTGACTATACTATCCCTTCATATGATGAAACCACAGAAATAAACTCTATTTCACTTGCCCCATAGACAGGTTTGAAAGGGAACCAGGGGCGGAACTACAGTGCCGCCAGACCCCGCATTGCGGGGGGGCCCGGGACGTTTAGGGGCCCGCAGCAGACCATAATCCATTATTTTTACAGTTAAAAAAAATAATCTTCTTTCATTTTTGACTTCATGGTTGTTTTGTAAAAAGAATACTGCGGTTGGATTATCTTTATTCTATAGACACCATCTCAAGTCCTCTTTCTCCTACAATCAAACACACGCTGTTGTCGGCAAAATTCTTTTGAAAATAGACCCATCGCGTGAAAGATACGCAATTGTTCAAACCACTTCCATGACTTGTTTCCCTTTTTTAAATAGTCAAATATTTGTGCTCTTAAGCACCTTTTAATAAATTTGCACTAAACAAATTAAAAAGCAATTACTTCTCTTAATTATTATTTTTAAAAAAAATACATAATAAAGAATAACATAACATAAAAGGAAATGCATTTAAAACTAATAATATAATAAGAAAAAAAACATAAAAATAAACATAAGGCGAGAAACCATTACACATACACAG